ACATAAATATCTACCGGCATTGGTCGAATTATCTGCGCCGCTGCGACCCCTACTAAGCAAAAATAATGAATACATTTGGACACCTGAATTCCAGAACGCGTTCAAAAATCTGAAGAAACAAGTTTCGAACATTGTTGAACTACGACATTTTGATATTCACAAGGACATTCGAATAATGTGCGATGCAAGCCATAACGGGCTCGGCGCGGTGTTGGAACAGTTAGGACCAGAAGGGTGGCGCCCTATTTCGTTCGCATCGCGATATCTTAACGAAGCGGAAAAGAAATATTCAACAAACGAATTGGAGATGTTAGCAGTTGTGTGGGGGGCTGAATATTTCAGAAATTACATTCTGGGCCGAGGTTTTTTTGATCGCGTCCGACCATAAAGCCATGATATCCCTTTTGAATGGTAATAATAAGAAAACTAAAACGATGTTTAGCCGTTTAACGCGCTGGTTAGATCGACTAATTCCCTTTGATTTTCGAATTGAACATAAACCAGGGGCTAAAATTGGATTGGCGGACTACTTATCACGTCATCCAAGTAGAGAAGCGACGCCAATTAGTACGTATGATAATATGTTTACGGTGGCAAAGATCAACCTAATTCGCACTGCGCTTGGCTTTAATACATCCAAGGGACACAGTAAATCCAAGGGACCAATTTGTACAGCGGAAAGTAAGCAATCTATAAATAGACTGGAAGTTTCGTCACGAAATGACTCGGTAGAGGGCGGAAAAACATGTAAGCGGAAATCAACCAATCAGATTCACACACGTAATTTGAGCCGATGGCTACGCGAAATACGCACTGGATTAGTTGGGGCTATTATTAAATCAGAACACAGTTGTTCAAAATTATCAAAATCCAATTCTCAAATTTCAGCATCAAATACCAAAATGGATCGAAGCATGCGTAAATGGCCGAAATTCCTTCAACAACATCCAAGTTTGAATCGTAGTAGCGACGAAATGGAAGAATTGCCCCCAAATGTATCACTAGAAGCCGTTACCAAAGAAACAAGATCAATTCGCACTAACACAACTCTCTCGTTACCCTCGGCATTCAAAGGAGAAACAGTACCACCAGTGGACCCGAATCTAATATGTATGTCAATTATCCCTCGGAATTGCAAAATCGTAAATAAAGTTACTTGATTACCTGATCTATTTAATCTAAAAATCATAGAATCGAATTATGTATCTGACCCCCAACTGAGCGCTATTCGCGACCTTATTGTTACACAAGATCCTGAAATCCATGAAAAAATCACTGAAATAAACCGCTATTATGGTCAATTCGTTAATGACTTTTCGGTGAAGGAAAATGTAGTCTGGATGGATGAAAAATTAGTAATTCCAATTAACCTTCAATCAGCGATTAATAACCGAATCCATGCGTATCACCACGGGAAATCAAATATGTTCGAGGCAGTGAAAGATGTTTGGTACCCTTATATTTACCGCTCAATAGCTTCCATTGCCGAAGGGTGCCCCGAATGTACCGCAGCCGGTAAGAATTTGAAAACGATAATAAAGAAAAACCAACTTGGAACTGTACCGGAACCAAGAGAACCAAATGAATCAGTCCAATCAGATTTTTGGGGCCCCATCAATTACTTAAATGAATCCCGCAAAAATGTATTAGTGGCAGTAGATAGATTTTCTCGTTGGCCATCGGCAATGGTATGTGGAAATAATCGGTCAGATAAAATACTGAAATTCTTGAAGATCTATATAAAAAACCATGGGGTGCCAGGGAAAATTCACGTTAATCAGGGAACTAGTTTCCTGTCAAACGAGATTAAAGCTTTTTGTAATAGGGAGGGCATTGAAATTATTAAATCACCAGTAAACGACCATCGAGCAACGGGGTGCGTCGAGCGTACCATTGGCAGTCTGAAAAATTCGATCCTTACCTTCGCTCAAGAAAAGAATCCCGAACCATTGGAGAAAATGGTTGAACTGGCCCTTGGTGCTCTCAGATTCTCGAAAAATTTAACTCTAAAAATCTCGCCTTTCGAAGCTCACCATGGTAGAGAAGCGAACACACTTTTACGGAAAAGCCATCTCTTCAAAATCTGGATTGGTCACGGGTTATAACAACGAAAAATGCTTGTTTAGATGCCACCGATCCAAATGCGCAAGACATGCCCCATCCAGCCCATACAAACTGGAGTGTAAGATCAGACATCGCATACGATATCAAAAACAGGACCCATTCAAGACGTCTTACAGAGGACCAATCCGCCAAACAACACGACGAACCGTCGCTACTTAAAAGTACAAACCCCATTGGACAACCGGGACCATCTGGATTGTTGTTCCAGCGAACTGGGAACCGAAACCTAAAAAGGTATAAACAACTCCACTCTAAAGTAAGATCCGAGAGTACACATACACTAACTTTTGATAATGGGGTTGTGCTTAGGAAATCGGGAGTGGCCACAAAGCCCAAACCAAAGAAATTGAAAGTTGCAGCTAAATCCGTATTACCGGTACCCTCGAGTGAAGTAAACAAGCCAGCAACTCAACCAGTGTTACCACCGCTAACTCCGCCAGCAGTTAAAGACCGTTTAACAAAACGACTTGCGGAAAAACAACGGGGAAGAATCGGGCGAAGATTAGAAAGTAGTGGCTCGGAATCGCAAGACTTGCCGATTATCTCGGTAAAACGGACAAAGCAGTCATTAACTAAAAAGAAGCAGTCATTAACTACCACCCCCGATGAACCTATAGAGCGATCAGCAACAGCAATAACAGAAGTCGATGTTGGAAGTGACCAGGACACCATTCCGGCACGGGGCGGTGAGTTGGATCATCATCATCCAAGGGACCAAGGAACGTCCAATCCAGGGGACCAGTCGAAGTCTACCAATAGTAAGAAGAAGGGAGCCTCATCAAAGAAAGCCAGGCTGGTTTCATACAGCAGCCAGGGTGATAGCCAGGACGAGACCTCATCCACGACGTCTAGAAGAAGCGGGCGCAAGAGAACTGCGGTCACCAAAATGGGGGGAGTAATGATTGATTTCATCAATCAAAATTAGGAGGGAAACAAGTGACCAACATCAACAAATCATAAAACTTTCGTTCAAACTGTTCTAACCCAGGGAGAGGGGAAGTCATTAGTAACCCAAAACTCAATTGGTATCGCTGCTCAGTGATCGTTTTTAGTTGTTAAAAGTTTCGTCATTATAAGGTCTAAATTTGTATCCAAACATGAAGCTAGTCAGTCTTTTCAATCATTCATGATCAATCGTTTCAGTCATTTAAAATCAACAGGTGAAATCATTTCTATTCAACTAAAGTTTCATTATCGAAGGGGAAGTGTTGTATAGAGTAATTTAGTTCATTTCGGAAGCTGTCAATCAAATGTTCACTCTCGGTGCTAGACTAATTGATTAGCAGGTGTTTGTCCTTGGAACAGTCTGTCACCCTTGGATTGTGTTCTCAACCACTCTCTATGCTAACTTTGTAAGATTAAGTTGACTATCTCTTGTATCGGAATTAACAATTAGACGACTATTGTTTTACCTTTTCAACATGGCGCAGCCAGCAGTCTCAGGCGGGGGAAAGAATCCACTGGACATCACGGGATTTTGGCCAGCGAAATGCACGGAACCGCCAATGATGTGGGAATTTTGGATTAACAGATTCCAATGGGGAATGGTCGCCAAGCACTCACTAAACCCGAAGAACTTCTACTACGCCGACACTCTCTCAGCTGCTCAAGTTACTGCCTTGCCCGAGGAAGTAGATGGAAAAAATCGACTGGAATCGGAACAAGTACTGATTTCGAATCTGTATTTGTGTCTGGGGGAAAAAGGGCAGGACGAATTTCACAAAAGACGACCGCATCTGGATCTCTCGGCGATTCGTTACCCACGAATGTTAGATAGACGCACTGGAAACGGAATTCAAGAAAGAAAGAAATGAGACATATGAGACATACCAACTTCTTTCCCGTAAGCAGTTTATCAATGAAAGTTTGGAGCAATTCCATTCCGTACTCAGCGGATTGGCGGCGCGGTGCAACTGAGGAAGTGTACCGGATAGCTCTCTCGTACGAGAGGGGAAACAAGTATGCATCATCATATGTTGCCACGGGATCAGTGGGGGCCCAAGGATCGACATTAGGAGGCGGATGAATCCAAATAAAAGCGGAACCAGTCGGAATATTTCGTGGAGGTTATCGGACCAATCGCGCTAGGGGCCGGGGCTCTTACCAAGTGCGAGGATCGAATCGGGGTAGAAATTTTCCCAATAACAATAAATGTTATAACTGCGATCAACAAAACTTCACCAGCAGGGTAATCACTTCACTTATATCCGATTTAGAAGGGTAATTTAAAGAAAAATCACAAGTTTTAAAAATTTATTTAACTGTCAAAAAATGGGCTTACTTGAGGCAATAACTTGTTTCTACAGAGTTTGGAGAGTAAGTATTTGAGAAAGGGAGATTCGCATAAATTGTTCTGTTGATTGCAACCTTCATCGCAGATTTTTGCAGTTAAAAGGCAAAATGAAAAATCTAGCAAAAGTCTTCTCGATTCTTCAAATACGTGACACGAAGGAAAGGATTTTTATATGATACGTCACTTGGCCCAGCTTACCTTTATTAGTTGCACTTGATCTTGCTCGGAAAAAATAAACTTGCCCTAAGCCGCAGTTCTTTTCAAACTCTAGGTGGGCGGTCGGAACAATAAAGGGCGTGTCGAAATCCCGAGGAGCACCTATTCCATCTAGATCTGCTCGTAGTTGTCAAACTGCCTATTCAATGCTTAAATAAGACATATACTTTTTCCATTGTGCTTTTTATCAATCAATTTAGACATCTGATCCCAAATTCCTTCTTTTTTGGATCCAACTTTTAAGACATCACTTTCAATGGCCTTAATACGACAATATCAATGATTTTCTTTTAGTTTTTACAATCAAAATGGAATAAAGTGTTATTATGTAAATTAACGAAAGCCAAAATTATTGAAATAATCCCGGTACACATTTTTATAATTTATCCCAAATGGAATTTACTAAACACAGTACTAGCAAAAAGTTTCAATTGGGTTTCTAAGAAAAAAAGCAACACTATTTCACGTTTGCTCTATTTTAGTTTAACATCAAGTTCATTTCAGTTTTAGTATTTCCTTTGGGCTGACTTTGACGAATATTGGATGAAATTGTCTTCATCGTCTTCGCTATCCACTGAGGAGCTACGATGAGTGGACTTTTTATTGGTCCGACCACTGCGTTGACGACTCGTGCTCCGGCGAGATCTTTTACCCGCTCTCACTTCATACGAGCCGGAGAAAGCATCGCCATCCGAGAGTGAGTCGTCTGCAGCTTCGTCGTCACTGACATTTTCGTCCTCGTCCTCATCCTCGTAGTCCGACCGGGAGGCCGAGGAGTCGCTGCGATGTCGGGTATTTTTAAGGAACTTATCAACCAGCTTCGCGTGAGTCTCTATGTCCTGATAATAAATCAGCTGTTAGAACCACCAATAATTTTTCAGTTCAGTTCATTTTGCGTCGAAACATTCAATATTAACAATTGAACTTGGCAAATGCACAGAGCTCATGAAGAGTTCACGAATTCAACGAAGCCGAGAAAATTGCTGTTCTTTCTAGAAGTTCCAAAAAGCTTGAAAGAAAAAGTATGGCCTTAGCTCTTTGAAATTCCGAAAACAGAATTTTGATTGAATTTGAGGAAACTGCTTTGAAATTCCAAAAATAATCTTAAATGGAGCTAGAATTTTAAACGGATCCGATGCTTGGCTTCGCAGACACTAGCGAAAACACGACAAAAAGCAGCTTTATAAGTGCAATAAAAAAAGTAGAAATAATTAGTATAAATTCGGCCAGAAATAAAGCAGAGAACAGATGCTATGAGATGTCCAATGCTACAGATCGTGATGATAGCAAAAGTGCCAACAAATAAGTGAACTTTTAATGAACACTTTTATTTGCCAGTTAGGATATGAAAAAATAATGTTCGTACTAATACACTACGTTCGCGAGTAAAACGAATAATTCACTTTTTGTAGTAAGAAATGTGTTCCATTTTTGCGATATTTAGTGTTGTTAACGGAGATGAAAATTTGCTTTTCCTTCCGCAAATGAATTTGAAGTGAACCTAAAAAAGAAACCAAAAGTTGAAGAGCCAAAAGATAACTTTGAGCATCAACAACTCAAAAGAATTTTTTGAAAAACAATTTAAAACAACAGTCATTAACACTTCAGCAAGATTGGTAATGTAATTTACGTCTTCTTTGGTGGGAATGGAGGGAACAGCAGCTCCGAAGTTGGGAGGAGGAACTGAGAATGGGGGCGGGTAGAACTGCATCCCCATGAACTAAAACCAACAATTATACATCATGAGAGCAAGCACAAATACATAAATATCAATTTTCACCAGCAGAGAAGACCAAAAATGATGGTTGCTTAAAAATAAGGACATATATTAAAAATGCATCTGTACAAACATTAACTTCGAAGCAATCCACCGGCTAAAAAATGAACAATACTTTCCAAGCAATCTTTCTGAACTGTATTCAAAAATCTACGGTAAAACAGCTTCTACAAGGGGGCACCAACAGTTAACCGCTGTTATGTGTTAACGGTTAAAAATATAATGAAAAACAGATCTCCCAGGTTTCCGAGAAAACTTCATGTACTTCATTCTCTTGTTTCCGTTTCTACTGATGTTGTTTCAATGGTTAAATCATTTATGGCGACAACTCACAGGGGGTGGAAACGGTCCTGGAAAACCAGGGTAGGCTCTTTGCATCTGTTTGTGAAACTCTCGCATGTAGTCGTTGTAGCTGCCATGCAACATTGTCTCTTTGCTCACGTGGTCTCCATAAGGCGAAGACCCCCTCCCCCGATTCTCATCACCTCCTCAATCCTACCCCCTCCGTCTCGAGGAAGATGACTCTTCGTTGCGATGTCGTTCCGAGGAGCGTTCCCGACTATGTCTTCGCTCGTAGTCTTGTCGACTGCTGGACCCAGAGCCACGAGTTGAGAAGTACTCGTTATTGAAGCCCCTAGAAGATCAACGAATTATTACATGTTGACTTGAGGTCAAAATAACACATGTACAAACACATACAGCAGATAGAGTAAATTAATGAGAGCTTTGTTGAAGAAAGTTCCAAATACATTCACTGAGACTTAACAAGACTACCATAGTTTCAGTTATATTTTTGAATACGCCAAACGTTCAACCGGGAGCATTAAAATGTAAAAAGATCAACTTATCAGTGGAAGATATTTAACATGGAATTTTCTTTAGAAAAGAAATTACGAGATGCAAAATAAATTTACCACACAAAATCGTTAAACATAGCTGGGCAGCTCGTTTCATTGTAGCTAAAATCCAAAGGAAAAAAATAAACTTCGTAACCGACATTCATTGAATAAAGGGCGTCATCTCCGACATCCAACTGCAAACGCTATTCAGTAAGCGCACCAATCGTATTAGAAAAAAATTAACAAATCAAGTTATGCCAGTTTTCAAGAACCCTCGAGATTGGCAAAAATGGACGCTTCCGGATTGGTAAAAACAAGAATACTTCCAAATTTGTGGAAATGGGAGCCTTACAATTTGCAAAATCAGGCCCCTCAGGAATGGAAAAAACAAGGACTCTTCGGATTATGCTCGAAAAACAACTGAAACCCCTCTGAGTATGGTTCTAGAACTCTAATTCAAAAAATTAACTAACTGGGAAGGGTTTTTGAATTTGAACCCTTCGGATCCAAGCTAGGCTGCATATTTTGCAATTTCCCCTAACCGGGTTGGGCTTATTAGTGGATTTACTTTCGTCTTACCTTCTTGCCTAAAATCTTAAATCTTAAATCGATATCTGTTTGTGTCGATTTATCAATTGATTTTGAGTAGATGTACTGTGTCTGATTTTCCGTGGCGACTTACGTTTTAAGTTAAGTGAAGGGTTGCTTTTTTGACCCTCCGTTTCTACGTTCACGTTCACGGACTGTGATGGGTCTACTTTATGACCCCTCTGGATCGGCGTTAAAGGACCCTTCCGGATTAGCGTAAAAGGACCCTCCAGAATGGGCGAAACATGCATTTACAGATCGGCGATTTATGACCATTCCGGATTGGCAAAACGGGGATCCTTCTGGATTGGTGAAAATGGGACCCTCGTGGATTGGCAAAAACGGGAGCCCTCCGGTTACGTTCGTGAAATTTGGAACATTCCAAATCGGCGAGCCCTCGAGATTGGCAAAAATGGACGCTTTCGGATTGGTAAAAACAAGAATACTTCCAATTTTGTGGAAATGGGAGCCTTACAATTTGGCAAAATCAGGCCCCTCAGGATTGGAAAAAACAAGGACCCTTCGGATTGTGCTCGAAAATCAACTGAAACCCCTCTGAGTATGGTTCTAGAACTCTAATTCAAAAAATTAACTAACTGGGAAGGGTTTTTGAATTTGAACCCTTCGGATCCAAGCTAGGCTGCATATTTTGCAATTTTCCCCTACCGGGTTGGGCTTATCAGCGGATTTACTTTCGTCTTACCTGCTTGCCTCTAAGATCCCTAATTTTTCCTCATAAATGAAAACAACGTAAAACTGCCTTAGTCAACCGTCGCTACCATTTGGTAGGGGTATAAAGGCTTTCCAAAAAAATTTTTGAACCGGGAAGGGTCAACAATCAAAACTGGTCTTTTATGCCAAAATTTCATTTAAAATATTATTATGGTCAATTTTTCAAAAAAAAGATTTGTTCGCGTTTATTTTCTGTTCTAAGGGTGTTAAATTAAATTGGTCCAGTATTTCTGTTTTGACCGCATCGGTTCAATTTTTCTCGCGTTACTGAACGAAACGTCTTTGCAAATGTTGTCCCATTAACCTAAAAACTAAGGGTGCTAGCGTAGAAGGCCTATAACTTTCTGTTTTAGTGCTAAAAACTAGATGAAAAACATTTCAGCCGGAAAAAAATGCAAAAAAACACTACAATGAACATGTTCTGAAAGCTGTTGGTTAACTAGTGTTTAAATCGTCCATAAATCGCGTAAAATCTTGTTTTTTGCTAAGGATATCCAGACTAAAAGCTGGTCTGTTGATGGTCTAAGTGGTGGAAAAACGGAATAGGAATACTAAAACAGGTAGTAAAAGAAGATGTTCTAAAAATTTTATACCCCTCTGGGTCCCTTTAATATCCAAATCATGGTGCTGAACTCGATTATTCGCAACTCGTTGAAGGTTCACTGTAGTGCTCCCACAGATGGATTGATTCCGTTAAATCTGTACAGAAAAAGATAAAGGATTTTTATACGATACCTAACAGTCGATTGTTGTTGTCAGTGTGACTATTCCTGCTGCTTTTTTCACGTCTGGAACAGATTTATTCTTCAATCACTTGACCATTCCCGATTGAATAAAATTTAGCATTAATGTGCTCAAATATTCAAACAAAGCTACAGTACCCGCTCAAAATAAAAAGCTACTGGTTGATCGCACCGATCAGGTTTGATGTAATAGTCTCTAATAACAATTTGTCTAACAACAAACAAATCTTCAGCTTATGTTTTGTCGGCACAGTTCAAGTTAGCTTCTAGCAAGAGAGAGCCAGTGGTCAAAAGAATTGATTATCATTTAATGATTTTTTCAATTACTTCAAATGGTCTGCTGAACAGTTTTTTTTTCAGAATCTGCTGAACTTTTGTCGGAAACACCTTTGGGCTCGGTCAATGCACGTTCTTGCTTCTTTGGAGATTCAAAATGAGAGTTTTTGTGCATTGGTTTTTTTTAATCTCTTTTGGATTCATAGTTCTGCCGCAGAATCTTTCGTTAGCTCAAAAGGTGTGCGTGTTGAGTGATTTACTATCGAACAAACATTTTTGAATGATTTAGCTGTAGATGGCCTGATTTTCACGAGAGGCAAAACGTCTTCATCTGATAATAGCTTTCATCTGATAATAAACCGCTATATCGAGAAGACATAAAATTATCAGATAAGGTCAGTTGCATCAAAATTACGTAACAATTGCGTAACAACAGTTTCAATTTGTTGTCATAGTACTTATGATTAACAATTTTTGGCCTGTTGGATTGCTTATCTCATTTTTGGATTGTTGGCCTTTCGGCTTGTTGACTTATCGCAAAAATTTTATATGCACTCAAATTCGTTGCTTGAATACTGCGATTCCGATGATGAAACAAATTCTTCACTTTTCCAAAAATTGTGTTTAGGTGTATAGGACCCATAATTTTGCAGAGACTGGCTGTCAAGTGACCTGCTTCCATAACGCGGAGATTGTTTCTGTGCTGTAGTTTTTTGTTGGTCCGTATCAGGAAAACATAAGACAGTACAATCAAGCAACGTATCGGTGAACAGCCTTGCCGTATGGTGGCTTCAAAGTTTAACAGTAGACAAAATTGAACAGGTCATATTCAAGATCGTTCGATTCCTGCATCATATGGAGAAATTGAAAAGCAGCGCCAATATTTGGTGGTGCTAATGCTCAACTGGTCTTGGTTATTTTTGAACTAAGCACAAAGGTCGCTGACTTGAAAAACTTGCTGTTTCAGTGCTAGAGGATGATACTTTTCAGCTCGTTGAAATGTTTTCATTGTTGATGGAACTTGAAACTCCGTAGTAAGTTCAGTGAGTGTGCTGATGTTTCTGAGGTTGTGAGGCGGATCACAAAAATCGCGATAGCTGAAAAACTACAGTATCAAACCTAATTTAAAAAATATTAAGTTTTTGCTGAAGTTTACAGATAACGGAAAATTAACATGGGGCTTGCGGCTATTAATCTGAGGTTAATAAAGTTAAATTTGATAGGGAAAACAACATGGTTTTTAAACTTTTGTTTGTATGCAAATATGCTCAAATCTCATGACTGGAATGTATTTCTGGCGACACGAACTTCGGGGGATTAGACGGTTACAATACCATCGCTGTAAAATTGCACTAGGACGAAATAACTGAAGCAACCATTTATAATAAACTGAAAGCATGTGATGATTTGTCGTTAATAAAATTAGCTCATTGTACGACAGAAACGAAGGTAGAACCAAAGGCTGTTTGTTTTTGGCTCAATAGCTAGAGGCCAAATCGCTTGGGTTTTTGGGCTACAAACTGGTCGAAGACAACACGAGATTTGCTAGCAAAAAATTGCAGGTCATAAAAAATGAATCCCTTTGATTATGAGAAACTAAAATTAAGTTCAATTTTTGAGTCTCGAAGTATCCAAAAGACGGAAATTTTGTTAAAAATCGGGCCACGAAAGGTATATAAAACATTTTTTTTTGGCCAGAGTCTGCTTAATCTTTTCGGATGGAACAACCTGGTACTGAACTTATCTCATTTTCATAGTCTTAAATTGCCATTGGGTAACCCATTATATAACAAAGATTTATATGTAACTTTTCAAACGTTCTGCATTTGCGTGCATTGTCAGCATACACCTAAGTGAAACGTATCTAGATTACAATTAATCGTGATTTTGTAGATGTCTTTAACAAAAGCAATCTAAGAAGTTTCGATTGTTAAGAAAATCAAAAAACATATTCGTCCATCATAGCTGGCCATTGATTTTAATTAAAATGTTTCTTTTTGATGATTTTTTATATTCTGTCTAGTCTAATTGAATACTTGAGTTCGAACTGACTTATGGTCAGGCTTGTTTTCCTCATTCGAGAAAAGGCAGGATTTGGGACGAAGATGTTGAGGTCAACTGTCTGTTTTCGGGATTAGATGGGGCTGAAGATGGCTGCGCTTTCTGCATTTGAGAATAGATCTGGATATCGTTGGCTCATTAGCTAGAGAAACTATTTTTTGGTTTTTTTTTAGCTTCAAATCTATCAAAGGCAACACGAGGTTTGATAGACAAAGAACTTACACCCCGTCTTTCTGAAAAAACCGCGGTCGAGAGACTGCTAATGTCTGTGGCTGTGCGCAATGAAAAGTTTGAGACTACCGATAACTGAGTTTGCAGTCTCAATTTGATCAACGGATTTGAGACTAGTGATAATCGAGATTGCTTCAAGTTTTAAGAATAGATTAAGCATGGGAATCTTCATGATTGTGCTCATTTTCAGCATTTGAGAATAGATGGCGTTTGTGATTAAAGCTGATGATCCCCTCCTTGACGTTCCGATTTTACTAAGAACTGATGATATTCAAAGCTGCTTGTAAACGGGTTCCTTAATAGGAGTTTTTGTTTTCCGAATTTGTCGTTAAGATGAATAGGTCTGCTTTCCTCATACTTGGGATAAGATGGCCGCTGTCAAACTTTTGGAATTGATAGTGCTGAAGATCGCGCTTGCGATTCGCATTTGGGAATCAAAAAATGTTCTGAGACTGCTGATTATTGGCTTTGCCGTTAGTTTGTGAGACTAAAGGAGTTTTGAACTTCTGCTGATTGAAGTTCCTAATCTCATGTGACAACTCGCCAGC